ATTCATTTATTTATAAATTGATAAAATATTAGTTATTAATGTTTTATTTATTAAATAATATGTTTCATGAATAAATAAAATTATAAAATACTGAGCGTTGAGATATTTTATTTTTTAAGCATCATCAGTTTTAGAACATAATAAGCTATACATATAAATAATATAATTATACATATAAAATATATATATTGGTCCACCTGATGTGCGCCAATTATAGATAATATAATTATAAAGTAATAATTAATTTAACATTTTAATAAAAACTTACAGTATTTTACTTAAACTTTCTTTTTTTTACGTGACCATTTAACACAATTACACAAAATATAATTTATTATTTAACAAAATAACATCATTCAGTTTGTATGAAAATAATAGCATAAGTTGTTGAAATATACAATAAAAATAATATTGGTAATTGGTTAACGCAAAATACGTTTGCCGGCTTATAAATTAACCATTTGCGACAAACATGAAGCACTAGAATCTAGTGATTGGATCACAATATTACCTAGATATGATCAATTAGTCTATAGGCAAAACTCATATCTAACTACTTATCTATACTAACTACCCTTGACTCTATAACCTGGCACATTTCATTAGCCGTATCCAGTATACGGTGGGAAAAGTGACATGTGACAAAATGTTTCCAAAAAGCGGAATCATAACGAGTACCAAGCTAAATATAGCAAATAAATCAATCGACTACCTCTTGAGATTATCGGTCAAAGTAAACATCAAGGCCGATGTCATGATTTAATAATTATTGTATCTGGCCAATAATAATTATTACATTATTTAATTATAAAAACTTTGTATACTTAATATTGTGAAACAGATACAAACTGTATAGGTTTGTATATTCATGTAAATATTACCAAAATGACCAATCTTGATAAGGCCGACGTAATTATTTTCGTACCATTTGAAATAAATTGCATTGAAATGTTAAGAAAGCAAACCCGTGTGCAAAAACACACATTCAATACATTTCAATGCAATTTATTTCAAATGGTACGAAAATAATTACGTCGGCCTTATCAAGATTGGTCATTTTGGTAATAATAATAATTTAATAAATACAGATTATACATATCGGAACCAATGAAAATTTGTAGATAACATTTGTTACTTGCTCTTTTTTGTCACACTTTTAGGCGTTTGTCTGTCACACCAAATGCCAATAGCATTTATTGCAATACATTTTGTCCTAGATTTTCACATTTAAAATAAATTAACAAAATATTTTTTAAACGTATTTTTATTGATAAATTTGTCATGTTCATAAAACTTATATTTTTGTTAATATATTTTTAAAATTATTAACTTTTCTAAAAATGTAAAAATCAACGGTATGAACATGTTGCAACCCATTGATTCCACAAATCTTAATTGGTAAAAAGTTGCATGTGCGGCACAAAAGATCAAGTAAACTTTTTAGAAAAATTAATAATATAAACTGTAATTAAATACAATATCCTTGATATACTACCGTCACAGTTCCAATAATACAACTAACGGCAACAAATGTACGATTATCATATATTATTCAGAATTAATTTTACTGGACACATTGTGGCCATGGACACATTTAAAAATTTCATCGGCATATATGCGTAAACACTTTTTTGTATCATCATCAAATTTGCCTTTTGTTCCATTGCCAATAGAATCGGTGGCATTTAATCGGGGTATAATTGTTCCTGATGTCAGACATACTATGCTGACAAATAAAACCTTTCTGGTAAAAATTATTATTAAATAACATATTTAATAGAACTTCAATTCAAATAGGTAACTTTAATTGAATTTGTTACAACTATTATTATATTTATTTCTAACTTGTAAGTAATTCACTTTATTCATTCTATAAGCAAATCTTACACCACGTGTGCTTACATTATCTACATCTGTATATTTGCATTTGTTACATTTAAATATTGTACTAATTTTTAAAATATTAAATATTAAGGTACATATAAATTATTAGTAATTATAACATGTTTGCATTCTTGTATATAGTTTTTTGTAGCAATTTATATTAACAAATATGGCAATAAATAATGAAATGACACTTCGCCATATAATTTTTTTAATAGAAATTCAAACTAAATAAATACAAACTTTTATATTATTTTACAGTTTGATGCGGAATAGGGTTTGGAACAGACATTAAAACAACAAAATTTTTTGTGGTTTGCTTTATATGTTACGACATGGTCGTAATTTTTAAGAATATTCTTATTAAAATATAATTAATTAATATTTATTTATATTTACACTTATTTAATAGTTTTAAATATTACAAATTATAAGTTATCATGTTGCACTTGATTGAATATTTAATGTAAATGCAAAGAATAAGATAATTGTAATGCACGTGATAACAACTTGACTCACACGTACCTATACACGTACACAAACATACATTATTTTATTAAATATATCATGTTACAATTATTATTGTATAATAGAAATCAGTATATAAAGCGCTGTTTGAGTGCCGCAAAAGTCTGTCTGTTATTTGTGCCTAAAAATGTAGTTCAGAATAGTTTTATTATAATGTCATAGATCTATGCCTTAATTGTATTGTAATGTTTATTTTAATGTAACTTTTATTAAATGTCAATCATTTTGAGTTTTATTAAATAAATAAAGTTTTTATATAAAATGATCATGGCTCTTCCCTCATTTATTTTAAAATTACTAATAAAATATCTATTTTTATTTACACCCCTAGTCGACTTGGTGGCCACAGAGACCCTGGTCATTTTCCATGGACTGTGAACACCTTGATCGTAACATATAAAATATGATTTGCATCCTGGTCTTACTTGTTAGTTATAACTAAATGTACATTGCATTACAAATTATACGATTGTAAACGGCCTATGTACCAAAAAGTCCTAGGTTAAATCTACCACTACAATTTACTGATTTAACTGTATTAGAAATGCCCATAACTACAAATGGAATGCTTTTTGAAAATATTTATTAAATCTAATACTTTAATTAGTGGAATTAACTTATGCGGTAAATAATTTTATCAATCTATGTGATTAATAGTTCATTGATCATGATTACAGATAAGTATGCAAACTCTGTTCTCGATATACATTTCTTCAAATTAACAATTTATTTTCATGTTTTAAAATCTAATATAAAATTAATATTTATTCAAAACAACTTTTATTTTTTGTTACCTCATAATAACGCTAATTATAATGATTTATATGAAAATTACTTTATATTATTTACCAAAGAATTTGTAAATTTAAATTTTTAAACATATGTAATTATGGCAAATGTATTTCGAGTATCCTTATAATTATCAATAATTTATATTATTTTGTTATTGTATAAATAATTTATTATCGTTTTATCAATAAAACAAAAATATTAATGTTTCACAAAATCCCACCAAGCTAAATGGCTTCATACAAATCAAAGTAATCCCATATGATTTATTAACTAATATAAAATAATATTAAGGTACGTATAAACTCGACATAATAGTTCAAACAACATGATAAAACTTATAAATTATACATCGGAAAAATTATATAAATAACGTGAATTACTTGTACAAAATAATAGTTGTATTATAATAAATTCATTTAAAGTTACCTATTTGAATTTCTAAATTAGTATTATTTATTTATGTTATATTATGTTATTTAATAATATTTTTATCACAACGGTTTTATTTGTCAACATAGTATGTCTGACATCGGGAACGGTTATACCCCGATTAAATGCCACCGATTCTATTGGCATAGCTGGTGATGAGACAAAAGACATATTTGATGATGATACAAGAAAGTGTTTACACAAATATGACGATGAAATTACAAAATGTGTTTAGGGCCAATTTAATCTAGACAAAATTAATTCCGAACAATACACGTGTTGTCGCTCGTGGTATTATTGGGACTGCGCCGGCGGTATATCAAGGGTATTGTATTTTATCACAGTTTTTACTATATTGTAGATTGTTAAAAAATTATTATTATCTATTAAATTGCCTGGTCCTTTATCCCCATATTTAAAATCTGTATTTATAAAAATATGTATTTACTACATAAATATACAAACTCTTACAGTTTGTATTTGTTTCACAATTTTTCAAATACAGTTTTTCTAATATAATAATAATTAAAATAATTATTAAAATATATAACCATGTTAGAACAAGTGTGGCAGCAAGGTGAACAAGAAAATCAATGAATATGTCGGTCGTTTAATAGCTAATCATCATAACTACGAGTGCAAAGACTACCCGTTCAATGACCGGGTGTTGTGATGCAAAGCTCCGGACGTCTCCCAAGTTATCAATAGACTTGTGGTCAAGGAATTGGTTATACAAAACATACGGTTATCCTTAGGCGGCGCCGGTCTTCATGACCAAGACATGGATCAGTTGACCGATATGTTGGCCAATAAACTTCGGAACAAACTGCATGATGATGATTAGAGTTGTTAATTAGTACCTTTATGTTTTAAATGCTTTAATGTTTGATTATATAATCATTGCAAAAATATAATTATCAAGTTATGTGTACTAAAAAATTACAATTATTTAAAGATTTAAATAAATTTTAAAAATGATTTTTTGTATTTAAAATTTTTTCGATTGATTTGTCTCCAAAAAGTAACTAAATCTTTTATTATATAACGTATAATCTATTACTATTATAATTTATTACAATTCATACAATTGCTTCCAAATAATGAATGCAACAAAGATTAAATATAATTATTTCATTTTTTACAATAATTTTAAATATTTCAAAAGTTAATTTTATTATCAAATATATTTCAGTTATAATCTTTAATTAACTATAATAATTTTTTAATTATCACAAAATGTTTTAAATAAAAAAATCTTGTAATTGTCACCACCATTCATTTATGTTATAACACTATGCTTAATAAAATAATTATTTTATAAAATTTATACAGTTTTGGTTATACAAAAATAAAAAACTTAAATAATAATGATGTAATTATAAATAAATGAATAACATAAAACTATAAAAACAATTTTAGACATAATATTATCACGGGAATTTTCATAAACAATCATTGTAACAATCTTACAATTAATGCATTTTTAATTATTAAATTGATTACAATGAAAATCTATCCAAATTGTTACACTACAATACATAATACTTTATAAATATTTACGATTTTTACATTTTCACAACCTTTATAAAAAATTAAAAGTAAATATTTGTCAATTATTTTTATAATTTAATTGATAATAATTAACACATAGTAATAATAGCAATATTAATAGATATTAAAGTATTTTTTAACGGTATTAGTGTTATCATGGTTCATTTGTATTTATTGTATTCACTTTACAGTAGTTATAATCAACAAAAAAAAAATTATTATCATATGCTGTCATTCACTATTAATAGTAAAAACTGATTATTTAAGTACGACATTATATTACCATGACAATTTTACCTTAATGAGTAATTAATTTTATATTTATTTATCATTGTTTTTAAATAAGAAACATTGATTTTTTTAAAAACAACCACCATGAAATATTTGTATTTTATCCTAATTTGTGAGTGTTTTATTATAAGCACAAAAATACCCCTGGTAATAAGCTATTCAAAAACGTGTACCGATTTTGTTACATCAAACCTAGATGCTTGTATAGAAATTAAAACACCAAATAACCTAGATATCGACAACCATAATGACTATACTTGTTGCATACGGTATATAGCGTTTCATTGCTGGCGATTGATCTCAAATGTGGGTTAAGTTTATGTATTTATTTTTAAAGTAATTAAAAACATATTTTACAGAAAATATTTTTAAAATTAAATTATCTGTAATTAAATGATCTAATTTAGTTAAATTTAAAAAGCTTTTTTTGTATTTAAAAAATATGATCGTAGGGCTCTGTTTCCAAAAAGCAACTAAATTTTTATTATATTCTGTATAATCTATTACTATTATAATTAATTACAGTTTATGCAATTGTTTCCAAATGATATATGTAAAATTCTAATATTAATATTTATTCCCAAATTAACAGCAATACTGTTCTGATGACGATTACAATGACATCGACTCTAACCTAAGGATTAGGGAAATTAATCTGAATAAAGAATGTCCGCGACATCAACGATGCTATTACTTATATAAAAATAATTTAAATAGGCATGGTACATCTCATCAAACTAATAATTCAACAATTATGTTTTGCACATGTACAACAAAATTATTTTTAATTATTTGTTTGTGTATTGTACTTTATTTTAAATTTATAAATTGTTTAAGCTTATAAAATTATTTACTAATTGTTCATTTATAAGCGAATTAAATATGAGATTGTAATGAAATAATTAATTTAATTAATAAATTTATTTTATTATAAATCTACTTGATTATATTCTCTATGTATAACACAGTGTTTATGTAATGAATGGCCCATTTATTCAATATTCCCATAAATAAGCATTTCTTATCACTAAATATGAAAGATTGCTTTGAATTGAAATATTTGTGTTTACTTTAAATTTGTTTTCGTACACTAAATGTGCGATAAAATAGTTTCACTTCATTTCAAATGCAATGAAAAACTACTTTTAATTTTTATTTAATAATTTTTATAAAACATTTTTAAATTCAATTTATTGTTGTATAATAATAATGAAATTAATAATATTAGTGTTGTGCGTTTATTATGTGCAGGGCGTACCAAAACACCTAAACGATGTCAGTAATAAGTGTTTAGCCGACAACAACAATGCTATTGTTAAATGCCAGATAGAGAGTATACCCAAAGATATATCACCTTATAGTATCAAAGAGTACTCGTGTTGTGGATCATATACGGCACTCAGTTGCGCTAGAAATATTGCCAAGGTAATTTTATTTTTGCTATTAATATTTAATTAATATAATTTGGTAATTTATTTATTATTAATTTATTAGTATTTTTAATTATGAACTTTTAATTATATTGATTTAATTCAAGAAAAAATGCACAGCAAAGGATTACGACCAAGTGTACGAGGTGATCAGACAGACCAGGAACAATATTTACAGCACGTGCAAAGACTATCAGCGATGTAACCGATCAACTAGTTTAGGCTATAGTATACCTTTAATTGCCATGATGTTTTTGGTGGTAAAATTATTACATTAACTAAAATTATATTTGTTAAATAATATATTGTTTATTTGAACATAAAATACAATTTACTTCTAACTTATATACAGTACATTACTCAATAAATAAATAAATATTGTTCTTGATAACTTTTATTATAATATTAATATTGTTTGTTTTTAATTGATAAAATTTTAAGAAGTAATTATATCTTTATATATAAGTAATTATATCTTTATATTATATCCTCTCTATATATTGTTGTAAAGTATAGTATAAAATACAGTAAAATATAAAGTTATGAAATAAAATGACATATTCTTTTATAATTATCATGGTAAATAAATATAAACATTATTATAAATTCATAATAATCTATAAATAAGACTTGATTTTATGTTTAATATGGTCAAACTCAATATAGAATTTTTTGGAATGATATAACAAAAAATTATATTTAATAATTATAGTTAGTTAAATTATATTTAAAAAATTTCCTCAGAGGAAGTAGCGCCAATAAGTAATTAAATTTTTATTTTATTTTGTATAATCTATTACTATTAGAATTTATTACAGTTTATGCAATTGCATCCAAATAATGTATGTAACAAATATTAAATATAATTATTTTATTTTCTACAATAATTTCAGATATTTCAAAAGTTAAAAAAAACTCTATTATCAAATATATTTCAGTTATAATCTTTAATTAACTATGATAAATTTTTAATTTGTTTATGTTTTAAATAATAAAGTTATTTGTGGTCTCACCAATAATATTATTTTATAACATTATTTTTAATAAAATAATTATTTTAGAAAATTTATACAGTTTTGATTATATTATGGAAAATGCGAAACTAACAACAATTTTATTTAATTAATGACTTAAATAATAATGATGTAATTATAAATTAATAAATAAATAACATACAACTTTTAAAACAATTTTAGGCATAATATGATCACCGGAATTTAAATAAATAATCATAGTAACAATCTTACAATAAAATAATTTATTGTTATTCTTCAAATAAAAAAGCAAAAAATGCAATACTATTTGATTGACTATTTATACAAACATTATGCAATTGAATCCAACAAAAACCACATTAATTGTAATTCACACAACGTTTACACCTAATCCTGATAGCCTTGAAAATACATTAATTTAGCTTAATATTTAAATAAAATTCAAGTAACACTGTTTGCCTCCCCAGACAACCATATAATACATGTACAAACGAGAGCCTTGAAAATGAAATGCCCATCATAAATTTATTTATATTATTTTAGAAACATCTCTATATATAAATACATATAACATGTATCGTCTCTATGGGTCTGTCAGACTAGAACCTAAGGCTATATAAATGCTGTAATAATTTTTTCGTATAAAAAGCATTGCAAAAAACTATCAAATTTTCAATAATAACTTTCACATAGAGTTTTTTATTAAAGTGAATAAGTTATTTTTGAGATCATTGATGAAATCATGTTTTCCAATGAAATTTCCATACATTTCCATTGAATGAATGGCCGGTGCCTTGCATTCAAACTGATAACACAATTGATAATAAATGACAAAAATATTTATATGTAAAACTTTTATTTTACTAAACTATTAGTTATTCTGCAAAATAAATTTATCTCGTTTTGTGAAAGACTAAAACTAGTCGTTTATTTTCACTATAAAAACTGTGTTTTCAATACTGAATCTCTTTCACTATTATATAACATAGAGTGCTGTTTAAAACAGACGGTATTTTCAGTTTGTGTGTTAAGTCAATAGGAGTCTCATAAAACTCCACACAAGTTATATAATACTAAAAATATGTTACAATTATATCTGCAATACTTGTCAGCACTACTACTTGTGGTAAACACCGCGACAACACATGCGTGAGTATTGCATAACATTTATGTAACGATAATATTGCGATCAATGCATGTAAAAACAATTGTCAACAATTATTTTATTATGTACAAATGTATTGTTGTATTATAAATAATTTTTTTAATTAAAATATTTTGTACTATTACATGCTAGATTGTTTTATGTAATTATATAATTTTTCTCTAAAGTATACTGTACAGTGCTTAACAAAGAAACGCCTGACAACGACAATAATTATTATATTTGTTGTGATTATTTTAACTATTTGAAGTTTGATATTGTTAATACTAAATTAATAATTATTATAAGTTTATAATAACTATTATTAGTTTTATAATAACTATTATTAGTTTTATAATAACTATAACTAATTAATTATACTTAACAATGACTGAACGCGATTGTGATGGTAGGGCTAAACCCACGTACACAGTGGTGGCGCCCAAAACTCTGCGGCCAAACGCCGACTATCGGGTGAGTGTCTCGCTATACGACATACCGGCGCCCATTCAAGTGAATGTCTCAGTCGTGGGTCCGGACAACAACACCGCCACTACCGGTGCGGTAGTGTTCGCCGAGTCTGAGACACAGATGTTAAGTCTGCCGATCGGCGACTGGACAGACGGCGCGTACAAACTTATCGTAACTGGTGCTGGCGCTAAATTCACCAAGCTTAAACCCCCACCTGAGCTGCCATATGGGGGTGGATACCCAATAGTGGTAACGGACGCCAATACAACTACTACTACAACAACACCGGCGCCCGATATAGTGACCGATGGATTCCGGGATGAAGTGTCGCTTCAGTTTCAGCCAAAAACGGTGTCCGTATTCATACAGACGGACAAAGCTATGTATAAACCCGGACAGAAAGTGCAGTTCCGGGCACTGGTAGTCACCCCTTCGCTACTGCCCGTAAACAACGCATCCGTCGATATACACATCAAAGTGAGTATAAATTAATTAATATTTTTATTTTTAATTCAATGTCAATTATTAATGTATTGATTAATAGGACGGTAACGGGAATCGCGTAAAACAGTGGACAGGACTGACACCTATAAGAGGAGTTGTATCTCAAGAGCTACAGCTGTCTGAACAGCCAGTGTTGGGCGAGTGGGCTATAGTTGTGGAGCTGTCGGGTGTGAAACACCAGAAGGCCTTCTCAGTGGCGGAGTATGTGTTGCCCACGTTTGACGTGGAGGTAGTGTTGCCTAAGTATACCACTCGTGACCGGCCGGACATTGTGGCCACTGTTAAGGCTCTCTACACGTATGGACAGGGAGTTAAGGGAGACCTGACTCTAACCGTACAGACAAAGGAACACTACAGTCGAAGTGAGTTTTGTTTTATTAGTTTGCAAATTGTTTTTAATAATGCTATACAGTATTATTATATAATTAAAAAATTATTATGGTATTTATAATTTATAATTAATTATTATTTAACTAATTATAAAAAATAGTCGACATTTATTTTTAGCTTGCAGGATAGGCTACGGTATTTCATTATGCAAATAGACCTAAAAATATAAATTAATGTTTTTATATTTTAGGTTATAATTGTTATTATAATTATAATTAAAATTTAACATAAATTTAAAGGCAAATACAGGACTCGGTATCCGATCGACGGAAGTGTTGACATACCTATCAATCTGATGGACGACTTGTCACTCGACCAACACTTTCAGAATATGGAGATAGAAGTGATTGCAGTGGTAAAGGAGGCGCTGACCGGCCGGTCGTATAACCGGTCAAACACTATGAAGATATACGACAGGGATGTGAAGGTAGAACAGGTGAAGACCTCCCAGACCTTTAAGCCGGGTCTCAAATACCCGGTGCTAATCAAAGTGACCGATCAGGACGACAAACCGGTGCCCGAAAACGGACCCAAACTTACGTTGAAATACGGCTACACTTATGAAGACAGGGACCAGAAGACAGTCCTCATGAGTCCAGTCAATGGACTCATTGCTGTAGATCTCTATCCGCCCAATAATACAGAGCACATAAACCTGAGGGCAGAATATATGGGTAAAGACTATTGGTTGGAAAACATACAGAAGGCTCAGTCGCCGTCCGGTAACTACATTCAAGTGGTGCGACTCGACTCAGACAAAGACGTGAGTGTCGGACAACAGCTCCGGTTCGCCGTCAACGCCACCGAACCGATCGGTCGACTCGTGTGCGAAGTGTTGGGAAAGGGAGACATCGTTTGGGCTCAAAGTATTGATATACCCGACAATAAGATGACCCATGAGTTTGGTTTGGAGGCCACGCTAGCGATGGCACCGACAGCGCGACTGGTGTGCCATTACCTGCGAGCGGCCAATCAGGAAGTGGTGGCCGACGGACTGAAGTTTGATGTGAGCGGTACTCTCCGGACACCCGTATCGGTCACTACTGACGTGCAAACCACTAAACCGGGCGCACCCGTAGAGGTGAGGGTGAGTACCAAACCGGACGCATACGTGGGTCTACTCGGTGTCGATCAGAGCGTACTTTTGCTGAAATCCGGTTACGATATCACACGCGAAGACGTGGACAAAGAGCTGAAGACATACGACTCGACCGGCGCCGACGATCAGCACCGGTACGGCTGGTGGCAGAACTCTGTGACCGCCGGCGAGATATTTGACAACTCGGGTGTTGTGGTCATGTCTAACGGTCTGATACACCGACAGCGGGCTTACGGTAAGTGATATACATATTTGTTTTGAGTTTGTGTATATTTTGATTAACAGCATGGTGCGAATAAATTGCATATTACTAATACTAATACTTAAACAACATTTGATGAATATGTAATTACAATAATTGCCAGCGACTATTATTAGTACTTTTACTATTGTTACTACTATTATACCATTGTCTTAATGATATTTATTGTGTAACAAATATGAAATTGTCTTTAAAATTATGTTTGTAAAATATGTTGAGTTTTTATCTCAGCTGGTATGATAGCTAATTTAAGGGCAATGGCTGTGGCAATGGGCGAACAGGTAGGATCACAGTCGGCCCAATTAGACAGGCCAGTGCCTCGAAGTGCAGTTCGATGTGCCACTCCATTCAAGCGCCAGTCCAGCCCTCCAGACATACCACAGCGGGTGAAAGTCCGGCGAAACTTTCCCGAAACTTGGATCTGGAGTTCCGGTGTTTCGCTGTATATATACTATAATTTGTTTGAATACTCTTTAAGCGAGTTTAAAATGTGTGTCAATAGTTTGTTGACCAGAATTGTTTTAAAGCACACATATTTACAATGACAATGTTTAGGAAAGTTGTTCATGGCTAGTTTTAGCATTTATTATTTATTTGCATTGTGCATGTCGCGAAATGTTCTTATCGAGCATGATAATCTTGGCTACATATACGCTAGTGATATGCATTTATTGTGTTATATTGCAATCATTTAAGATAATGTGTTTTAAACGTGAGTTATCTCAATATTCAATTAAAGCATCAGACTCGGATTTATTGGATTATGAGGAGGACGATGAACATGGGTTTGTACTGGATTCAGCTTCCCCACCTAGGAAAAAGATCGCCCTTGATCATACCAGTGATATGTGGGAGGAGGCATCGACACTACCCTCACATTTGACACTCGGGGTTAAAGTTAGGAAACATTTTCCCGAAACATGGATCTGGAGTTTCAGTGTTTCCCAGTATTTAGACTTTTATTTAGATTTATTCCTATATAAGCGCGCAATAGTGTTGACTGAATCGTCAAAATTTATAAATAAGTCTGTACTGTACTAACACAGTTTCTCTAGGTTTGATATTTAAATGGACATAGTATGTTTAATTATATTAATGATCCAACATAGACACCCATTATTTAAGTAATGACTATTGGTTGCTTTACACTATCACATTCCCTAAACATGTCAACTACTTAAATAATGTGGGTCGTTTATTGGGGGGGGGGG